ATGGAAAATAATAATTAAAACTTGACGGAAAGACGCAAACGGCACTCGCACAATAGACGTCATACGTGGATAGTTCCGACTATTTTTATAGACACGTGTGAGGTTCTAACTCGTTCCATCATACAATTCATACTTTATTGATCTTCGAATATTACATGCGTGATTTTTCAGAAATAAATAAACTCGAAGTGCTGCGATCAAGTGTTTTGTGAAGAAGGGCTTATCGGTACAAATATTATTACTGAAATGATACAAATACTGATATGTAAACTAAGCTTTACTTCGTAAAATACTTAATCGCACGCACGGTACGCATTTCGATGTTATTATGTATCGCGTAAACTTACACGGTTGGTGTCGCGCGCGTGGTTAGGCTTGTCGCTTATACTTAGTCGCTTATACTTGGCGCGAGACACTACCGTGTCTCGTGATATACAGTGCCGACCAAAATGATATCACCTTTCGATTTTTTTAGCATAATTAGTTTTAGGGTTTCGCAACTGCTAACCAAAGTTTAATTGATTCTCTGGCTCCTCCTAGATGATAAAATAGAAAAAGATAGGGAGGTGACTGAACCCTGGTTAACAGTTAACCGACGTTTGTGAAACTGGCCCTTAAAGTGCGCGAATGAAAGCTTCGGAAATTATGGTGTATCTTGTCAAATTTTTTCACCCTTTACGTACCTGTTATCAGGTGTCTCTTGTAAAATTTTGAGCACATTCGGTGCTCAGAAAACCTAAAGGTGATATAATTTTGGCCGGTACTGTATACGTGGTCAAAAATTTCCGGACGCGTAAATATTTCAATGTGCTAAGATACATTATTTAAGAAATGTGTTTCTGACCCGAAACATAATTCAAAACTATACCAAAATCGCCTGCTAGAGAAGGAGGCAGCTAAAAAAAAAATTAAAATCGTACAATCGCCATCGCAATATCCTGACCTGAACTCTATTGAATTATTACGAGATGAAGTGGAGCGTGAAGAGTAAAGTAGCGACAACCGATGTCGGGTGCAGATTTGTGAAAAATGTTGGAAACAACTTGGAAAAAAATTGCCCCAAGAAAAAGTGAAAAAATTTCTAGAAAGGATACCGCCATTAGTAAAACGCATTCTACAAACGAAAGGTGATTTCTTTGACGAAAACAAAGTTTGCGTTTTTGACAGCTTGACTAATGCTGCAGCATTGAGTCAATTTGTAGTCGGATATATTGAATTTTGCTTTCAGTTCGTGTGTTGTTAATTACAGTTATTAATTTTAAAAGCGTCCGGAAACTCTTGACCGACAGATATACACATGCATACAAAAAAATAATAATAATTAGACGCGAAGGGGAAAATGTTTCATCTACTCTGAAAGTGAGACCCTAAAGTTTTCTGACAAGTTCCTGGCCGCGAACTGAACGTCAGAAGATTTCATCGGCGATTTCGAGTGGGCCAATTGCTTTATCGCGCCTGTCACGCGAGAAAGTTTCGGCGCAGCCGGTTTTGCACCGCGGAGCGAGCACTTTTTATTTGGGTACCGCCAGTGACAAGGTCGACCGGCGGGAGAAAGTGTCCTCGCGAAGCTGCGTGCGTTTCCGTCCGCGTGAGGAAATTTGAGGCACGCAACGCGACGTTGATTGCTCGAACTTGTGAGAGATCTCGTTTCGCAAGGAATTAGATTAACCTTCGATAAGTTTCCGTGATAATATGCTAATTGACGAAATATTTTTCGGGCGTTTGAGCAATTTGGTATTTCAAGTCTTTTATCTCGCAAGATAAAAGTAAGTAAACTTGCAGAAATGTACGCACGTCGTGCCATTTATTAACCCTTTCACTGTCCCGCGACATCGTGTGTGACACGCAAGTTTTATGGGACTCGTGCGTCGCATACGATACACCGAACTTATGTTTCATATATCTCTTTTATAAAACTTACATCACTTAATTTCCAAGCATTTTTGTTTGTTTTGAGAAAGCTTAACATTACAGAACTGGAGTATTTATTTCGACGCACACCCTCAGAAAGGATTTCTGTTATCGAGACAAAAAATATTCTTGACGCATTTCTATTTCTCACAGCCTCATTTAGTATCAAAATAAGACAATATGAAAATCCAATAAATAATTCTTATTCTCCTCTATCGAATTAAAAAAGATTGACTTACTATATTGAGACAAGAGTAACTTGTATAAATGTAAGTTTATATATTCTTGCGTTTAGAATAAATTTTCCCTCCATCTTACAACGCACCAAGTTGATATTCGACAAAAGACGATACATACCGTCGTTTTATTCTAGATTTTAGAATTTTTCATTTAAGATTAAAATGTTCCTTTCTCTATAATAAATATGATTGGCGCTGTGTCGATCCTATTTTATGGTACAGTGAAGCGTAATAGCATTGGATCCAGAAATATTTTCTGTGGGTGTAAAGTCTGTTTTTTCTTCGGGAAACGCCCGAGTTTAACCGATGAAAGAACGGCCGAACAGTGAAAGGGTTGCGGGAAGTGACGAAGCAGGTTACGCCTGTGCCACTACCCTTTCATTCATATGTAGATTTTAATTCCGAGAGCTTTTGTATCGAAATCAGTTTATCTTTGCATTTTCTTTCCTCTCGCGAGTCGAGCGACTACTTAGCGCCGAGCGAGCGCCCAGTTTGAGTGTGGATAAAATTAACGGGAAGCCGAAGAAGTCAACGCCATTGTATTTCCCTGAGCTATTCGTCGATGCAAAACTTTGCTGAAACTCTGCCGTACTTGTGATGTGTATTTACAGGATTATTTCAAATGATTTATCCACTGTTTACAGGATTCTTTGATATAATTTATCCGATTTCAAATGACTGTATTTTTTTTTATTGTAAAACAAATACAGAGAGATTGTTGATACATCAACCGAGCGGTAAACCGTTCAAGTTTTACTTCTCATCGCGTAAGTGCTCTACATGACTGCGATCTTAGAGCAACGTCGAGACGGTAATCGCATTCCTCTCATACTTGCATCAGCATGGCCGTCGTCATTGACTCCACCGTTAAAGATGCCGTATACGTGCCATCGTTGTCCACAACGGGCTCCAAAATAGAATTGTTACTGCTATGAGGTCACGAAGAACTCGCTCACAATCAGATGTCAATGTGAAAATTAGGACGGTTTATCTGTTGGTTGATGTATCGCTAATTACACTCTGTATTTGTGGAATTAAAAAATACAATTATTTGAACAAGAATGAAGACTTATTGTCGCCAGTCAATAATTAACTAGTGTAGAAAATGAATACTCGACACAACTGGCAAATTCTAAAACACTTATTTGAAATCGGCTGAATTATTTTAAACAACTCTGTATCTTACAACGCATTTTTAATATAGTTTTTTTTATCTATTATTGAAAAGCTGAAATATTTTTATCTTTGTATCAATCTTGAAGCTTAGATTTTCTTTCTCGTTAATGACATATAAATTATATAAAATTTGCTTAAATACATTTGTACAGCCATAATAACATTATTGGCGAGTTTCTAGCAATTGCATTATGTAAAATCGCTAGTTTATAATATCGGAGTAAAGTATAAATGAAATCCACGCCCTTTCCACTTATATCTAATTATATTTCACGCTGACTCCGTCAACTCGATGCCCATCGAAATAAAGTGCAACAACGTATATTATTTGACCGACGCCGCGATCGGTTAATGCGAAATATTAAACGCGCTCGCGTAGACAGGTTTGAGTAACAAGAAGTGTCCGCTTTCTGGCGATTTCGGAAAAGTAGTCGAGAAATACGACGATGCTCCAACTTGGAGATGTCGATGGCGATGGAATTTGACGTTCCGGCCATGATGGACTCGCAGTGGGAATACGCGGACTACGAGCCGAGCAACATTCATATCTATGAGAAGGAATTTCATGACTATGTCGTGTACTACGTGGCGCAAGGGGACTCGCGGCTCTTCTCAGGCAGTTCGCAGCCCACCTCAAGCACAGGTACTCGGGAAATAGCGTGGTGAAAAATGCGTTGGATTAGTACACCATGCCCGTATCGCACTACGGATTTATAGGATTGCGATTTGATTGAATTTTGACCAATCAGAGCAACGTTCGCTAATCTCACGTTTAGCGAAGTTTTGCCTTGATCGATCAAATTTCAATCTCATCCTAATCTCAATCCGTAGTCTGACTTTACGCGTTTCTCGCGTTTGTCTGCGCGAAGTAAAAGCTTCGCCAACTTGGGCTCTAGCGCAAATATTGCCGTTTTGAAAGTAGCCCTTCGATAATGTTTGCTAACTTTTCAGTCCTGAACGTGCAAATTGTTTCATTTGCACTTGATTAGCAAGTGCGAGAGAAATTATTTACTCTGTATTTTGAACGTATTGAAATGGCGTTTTGAAGAACTTTATGAGAGTTTTCTTAAATTTTAAAATACATTTTACTAGTAAAATGCACATTAAGTATAATTACGAGTAAAATGTATTGCAAAATTTCACAAAACTCTCATAAAATTCCCCGAACTGCCGCGTTGTTCCACGATTACGTGATTTTCAGGATAAATTTTAAGAGAAAATTCTTTCCGTGTATTTTGGGTAATACGTGGTGAATCACTCGCCGTTTGTACACCACAGATTTCATCGTCAGATTTATGTTACAAATAGATATATTTTACTTCGTCTTTATATAGAAAATTATTTTTGTTGCACTCATTGATCTCAATATATCGAAAATTAAGATATAATTGAAGCCTAAAAAAAGATACAATAGCATGTGTTTTTCGAAGATTGATTTGATGGATTCAAGTAGGGTCAAGTTAAACGATGCTTTTAGATTAGCAGTTTTATCTTCAATTTAGAGCAGAATGTCGTATCCGAGGAGTGGAAACTTTAAGAGAGATACTCATTCAAGAAGCTGCTCTGGTTCACGCACGTTCTGTTTCGGGTCTCGGTCGCTTCAATAAATATTAATTAATTTCAAACGTGTGCCATCTGCGTGCCCGAGACACGCTGAAATATGCAAATCTGTAGAAGCGTCAAGTCTACGCGTCGCGCCGGCTAAAATAACGTTTCCGCAGTCATTCCGAGCTTATTGCGTAATGGCGCGAATTGGACGCCAGTTAAAATTGAGCAAAGTGTCTGAATCATTTATCGAAGGCCACGGAGGAGAAAAACAAGCCTTTCAGATTGCTCGTCGCGCGAGTCTTCGCTACTCTTGTCACGTTTGCTCATGAAATACAATAAAGAAAATCTATTAGCCCCTCGGCCGACCGTTGTGGGAAATAAAAGGAAACGCGGCCGTTCAATTACGATACGTGAGTAATCCTGGCATTGACGCTTTTAATAGCTCTGGTAATTATATCAATCAATCATACATGTATAGACAACTAAAATAATCCGGGTTTATCACTCGAAATAATATCACTCAATACTGCGGCTAACATTCAGGGGTTTTCTGTATCTTGATTGCACGAATACTCATTAGAATAATAAATAAAGTGCAGACTCATTGCTAATTGTATCGACTTTACATCGATACGTGGCTAGAGGAAATTTCTCTATTATGAGATAGGATTCTAGTACGAGAGAGAGCAAGTTTTCAGCGTCCAAGTTCAACCATAAATCTTTTTTTCGCAACGACTACACGATCTAACAAACAATTTTCCACTAGACAAGATTTCACTCCAAGGGCAATAAATCCGTTGGTGGAACCAACAGACGATGTCTATTAATTTAGCAGAGACTCCGCTACCTCATATTAGGAGCCTATCTCATAATACGGGACTTTCCTCTATATTAGCATTATATTTGGAAAGTGATAATCATTTGTAATTAAATCGCGCAATTGCCCGTCAATACAATAAATGCCTTTAAGTTGATACAATAAATATATAATAATAAGTGAACTCGACCGTTTTATATAAATGACACAAATAATAGCAACCTCTGGCGGCTGAGCTGACAACATTTTTTGCGTGTAATTTTAATAATGATGTTAAATAAGTAGCCTGTAGGCGCGGACTGCGAAGAATTTATTGCGGACAATATTTCTCGGCCAGAACAAGAAACATTTTTTATTCTCCTAAGTCGAGAGAAAATATTCTAGTCTCGCTCTTCTTCCGCGAGACAGATTCTAAAAGTAACAGAAACATCGCGCCTCGCCGCCTCTCGCAATCAATCGCCCCGTCCCTTGCGAGGCCGGGATTCTCCCTCCCGAGACGTCCCCTCCGTCCGCGACCGGACGAATGTTTAAATTGACAATGATTAACCGCGTTTGTCTCGCGCGCAGCAGGTTCAACCCCCGGAATGACTTTTGCGTGAGCCGTCACGTGTTTGCCGCTTCGTTTATCACCGGGTCGCGAGCACTCGCCACGGTGCAGCTGGGCTGCGCTGACGATGAGTAATGCAGCTGGGTAGGCGGACTGCAAAAATTTAATTTAACCGTTACTTATCTCCGCGAACGTTTGACACCTCATCGCGGCTATTTTTTCCCGCCTCAATAACGTAGGTCGATGTTGACGATCGACTTTGTCTCTCGTGGAGACTCGACACTGTGCTTATCGAAGAAACACTATATGTATTTAGGGTAGCGGCGTGTGTCTCTGTCGGGCCTGGTCCACGTAAGATGTCGTAAGTCGTGTCGGATGTCGGGAGCAGTCAGCAGCATGCGCGCTACTCTTTTTGGCTAGTTGCAAAAAGTGTAATGTACTCTCGAAACGTCATTCAGTGACGTGTTGTCTTACGATTATAACATTGTCGGGATAAATTTCAAACGAAAATTCCGTGTCGGCATCGCTAGGCTTTTTTTTTTGGGCGTTATAAAGAGTCTGACAAGATGAAATAATTCTCTCTAAAAGTCAATCAGTGGATTATCACTGAAAACAGTGAATAACCGCTGATTTGCAGTTCTAAGCATATACCACTGAAAATCGCAGTGGTACACTTGCAGCTGCAAATCAGCGACTATTCACTGCTTTCAGTGATAATCCACTGATTGATTTTTAGAGAGATATAATAAGATAAGGTAATGCCCACTGGGCATTAGTGGGCATTGGTGCGCCTGATTTCGGTCAGCGGTTTACCCCTCGGTACAGACACTTGCGAACTGGATAGAACGTCGTGATTTTGCCGATATATGTATAGCTGCAACGACTTCCGACATCCGACAGTGGCAGACCAGGCCTAACGCTGCAAAGTGACGTGCAACTTGCCGGAGCAAATTTGCCTCTGTCTTATGTTCCGTTGCTATCTACAGGGTGTGTCCTAATACCCGTATGTCCCGTAGATGGCAGATAGACCGGGGCAAACTGAATAGAAAAGTCCTATACTATTTTGCAAAATTCGCAGTAGTTATCGAGAAAAAAATTATCGAAAATCGTCGTCTTTGCCCTGCCCACTGTCCAATTCGAGCGCGTAGCGAGATGTGACCGCCCGGCGATCGATATTGCCTGGCGAGGGGGGGAGGGGAGGACAGCGCGCAGTTGCCG